GTCGGGGAAGGGCCAGGTCGCGACGGCGGTGCTGAGCCGGTCCTTTTGGCACCGGTCCCGTCCACTGCCATGGACGGTGGCCGGAGTTTCGAAGAGAGAGAGAGAAGGGAGCTGCTGTCGGGGAGAGAGAGACGCGCGGGGGAGAGAGAGACAGACGGGGGCAATTCCGTCTTTTAACCAAAAACCCACTTCAAAATATTTACGATTATGTCACTGAGCTTCATTTGACCATATCTCTCTCGTTACAACTCCGATTCGAGCCCACTACGTGTCTACGAACTCCTCTCACCGTGCTCCACGCAACGGTACAACCGGAATTCCCAAATTCCTTACGGGTAAGAAAATGACCAAAATACCCTTATCCCACGGGTAATTTCTCAATTCCACTTAAATTAATTAAACATGGGATAAATTTGGGGTCGGGGTGTTACACTTTTGGTCAGCTTCAAGATGTGTGTTTATTATTTGAGTCCATTACCTGTCTAAATCTCCATCATTAAAAACATGATGTCAATATATTTGGCTCATTGATGTTAATATCAATTGTGAAAGCTCAACTCTTTAATATTTTTATATTTTGCGTCCTCTTGTTATTTTATGTGTTATGTGCAGACGGAGCATTGGATCCACTGATGGATCAAATGTCTCTATAACTTATGTGACGGAGAAAGCCAACAGGAAAAGGGGAAGCGTGTTGGATTCAAAAATCTGACGACGACCATATTGCATTGCATGCGCTCTCTGCATTCAACAGTTGGCAGATTTGCAGAAGCAAAGAAGATCTTCGATCGATGATGCTAATCTAACTCATTATAAGGGCCTTGAAAGACCCACCAGCCCACCACCCGTATTAGAGATTTGATTCTTCTGCAGTAAATGCAGAAAAAGAAAGTCCCACCGCTGCCAGGAAAGTTTTTCTCCCCACCGCCCCACTCTCTCTCTTTGCTTCCCCATTTATTACCCTCCATTTCCTATTTCGGAATACAATCCAAAACTCACCATTCCACTTCAGCTCATTACTTTTTTCAAAGATTCATGTTATGGACCATGGACAACAATGCAGAGCCAACCCAACACAGAAGAGATAACGTGCTGGGAAGGGCAAACAGGTAATCAACATTTGTCTGATATTTTTCGACATAGCTAGGTTGGAGTTATTCTAAACTAGACAGTAGAAACAGATTAAATATGTCTGATACAAAAGTGCTGATACAGAACCAAAATCAAAGATATTAAATCTCTGCATGCAACACATGCAACAAGCCTGGGTTCGTGCCTGCACAGAGTGGCATATGAAGATAGGGAGATTTATTAGTAACATTTTTGGTCAGCTTCAAGTCTAAAGCCTAATTCACTTGGATAGAATTGTTTTTGCTGTCATTGAATAATAGAGCATTAGGAATTATGAGTATGAGGGTTGGAACTCTGGGCATGATTAACGTAGCTGAATTCTGAAACACAGCTGATCTCACGTGGCTATGTTGTGTCTGCTTTGTCTGATATTCTTAAAAGAACTTGCTGGCATGCTGGGAAGAGAAAAGACATTGAATCCAAAACAAAAACTCTCCCCTTTTCACCTTACCCCACCCACCTCATCAAATCCAACACCAAATAGGGTTGTACTCACTCTAAATTAAGTTCCCAATGACGTCTATTAACATGAAGACTGTGGTCATGATTAAAGTAGCTGAATTCTGAATCACAGCTTTATGTGTTAATTGATCGCTTTTTCTGGTTTCTTTATATGGGGCTTGAATATATTTGATATATATATTTCACACCATGCATTGTAAGGCTAATAGCATTTTTGGTTAAACTCAGTCAGGCTCGGACCCAAAATTCAAAAATGACTAGGACTAATTTTTAGGCTAATTCTTCAAATCGAAAAATATATTTTAAAATTTTGACAATTTTAATGATAATTCCCAAACTATAGACAATATATTAAACACTTCCATGATTTACTTCTACATCTTCAACTATATTCTAAAAAACAACATACTTTCCCAATTATACATTAAAAAAAATTAGAAATAGATTACAAGAAAGAAAAAAAAAAGTACAAGAACAGGACGGAGGTTGAGGAGAGAAAGGAAAACAAAAAAGAAAACTACGAGTACAAGAAGAAGAAAAAGAAGAGAAGGAAAACAAAAATAAAATAAATAAAAGAAAAAGGATGAGACAGGGGAGATAATCTTCATTGTCTTTTACTTTTTATTTTGTCTTGGAGTGATAAGGTCGGATTGGCTAATAAATGGGCTAGGATTTTTTTTTTCCCTTCTAAGGGCTGAACTACCTAGCTACTGAGTCACTTGTCCACGTTGCTTGCAACTCACTATAAAGTCTCACCATCTCATCCTCTTCTTCTCACCTTTAACTCTCAACTTCTCACTAACCCACCTCTGCAACTCACCCTCTCGGCTTCTCATCCTCTTCTTCTTACCTCCACACAACTTTCACCTAAGAAGTTAATTCAAGGAAGTGCTCCAATAGATTCCCAACTGATGAGGTTGAGGAATACTTACATTCTTTGGAAGAAGTCACAGATGCTAAAAACAACTTGTGCTCCAAAGAATACCCTTAGAGCACAAGCTGTTTTTTGGCATCTGTGATGTTTTTCCAAGGAATATAAGTATTCCTTAACCTCATCAGTTATTCGCTGAAATTGCAAAGAAAAAAGCTGATATTGTGCCAGTTCAGTACAGGAGGTAACAGAAAAATCTGGTTTTATTTATTTATTTTTTCCCTTTGTTCTTTTTTTGACATCTCGCACTAACCAAAGATCCCTCTTGGATTTTTTTTTTCCTGTGCAGGGTGAAGTGTGAGAGAAGTTGGGGGCTGAGATTCATGATGAGTGGCTATATTTTATGGAAGATGTAATTATTTAAAATTAAAGTTATGCCACTGCTTCGTTGTATTCTGACTTTAATGGCTATATTTGATTTATGTGTTATTTGTCTTTGGAGAAACAGAAAATATCAGAGAGGCTGAGAAAATCTTAGAGAAAACATTCAGAGAGAAGTTGTATTTTTAATTGAAGTTTGTGTTTATACACTGAATTACATTGGTAACTCATCCTTATATGGTGAAGCTAGAGTCAGTTACATAATGCAAACACTTTAGAGACTGGTAATCAGCCTACGTAAGTCCCATTTTCTGTTAGAGAAGTTAGTAAGACAAGTTTGTGATATCTGGCACTTCTGCCCACCCCAGCCACGGTCTTCGATACACTTGAAGGATTTCCAGTTTGTGTTTGGGTGTTGTGCAGCTTCCTTTGATTTTGTTTGTTTGGTCACTTGTGCTCTGTTGCTGTTATCATAACAAATTCTCTTCCATTTGGCTAACAAAACTGTCCGGCATATGCATTCAAACAAGTGTAATGCAACACATATGTGCCCGACTGAAAGAGGTTTTCTTGCTCGAGTTGGGCAATTGTAATCACATGGCAGATGCAGTCAAGGATGACAAAGAACTCATTGGGCTTTGGCAGTGTGTGTTAGAGATTTGATTCTCTTGCAGTAAATGCAAAAAAAGAAAGACCCACCACCCCACTATCTTTGCTTCCCATTACCCTCCATTCCCCATTTCGGAATAGAATCCAAAACTCACCATTTCACTTTAACTCTTTACTTTTTTCAAAGATTCATGTTCTGGACCATGGACCACAATGTAGAGCCAACCCAATACGGAAGCAATGAACATTTGTCTGATATTTTTCAAAGTGAATTGAGGTGGTTCATGATGCAGACTAGACAGTAGAAACAGATTAAATTTGTTTGATACAAAAGTGCAGATACTTGCTTTTTGGCATGAACCATTTGATGTTGTATGGAGCCTATGGACATGGAAATAGTCTTCTACATGTGAAGTTTACTAAAATTAAAGGAGCCTATGTCAAAAGACATGGAAATAGTCTTTAATATTTTTATTTATTCTTTGAATGGAAACATTATAATCAACATCCTATGAAACAAAATAATTAGAGAAATTATGTATATATACAAAAATTTGTAAAAAAAGAAAAAGAAAAAAAAAGGCTCTTTGTTCTTATACTAATTTTCCTAAAATTGAAAGATGTCCCAAATTTGATTCTTTTGCAAACCTCAAATTTCAGTTGTTATAAATGTTGTTTTGGGCGGCTGTTGTTTTTAAATTAATCCTATCCTATTCAAAAATAGTTTTCTTTTCTAAAATCCTATCTGAAATGTTTTTTTTCTTTCTAAAATAGTACTTTAATTAAATTATTAAGAATATATTAAAAATTAATAAAATATTAAGGGATAGCTTTGAAATCTAAAGTCTAATTCACTTGGATAGAATTGTTTTTGCTGTTATTGAATAATAGAGCATTACGAATTATGAGTATGAGGGTTGGAACTCTAGGCATGATTAAAGTAGCTGAAATCTGAAACACAACTTTATGTGTTATGATATCATTATCTCCCATGGCTATGAATCATGATCAGCTTGTCGAAGGGAGTCATTTGGTGTGCGTTAGTGTTGTTTACTTGTTTGTGTTGGCACTGACATCTTTGCAATGTGAATTGGCGGTAATTGATTTGAACACCCGTTTGTTTCAGACACATCGGTTGCTTAGACTAGACTCTGACCCTTTTTCAATGTGAATTGAGGTGGTCCATCTTAACATCATCACGCTTGCAGTCTCTGTATTGAAAACTGATGAATTTGGTAGAGCAAATGTAACACCCCGCCCCCGTTTATTTTCCTATTTAATTTAATTAAGGGAAAATATTAAATTATTTCTGGGTTAAGGGTGATTTTGGTCACTTTCGCATCCGGGAAGATTTTGGGACCGTGAGTAGTGTGGTTGCGTAGGTGGTACTGAGACGAAACCGTAGACAGGCGGTAGGCCTGAATCGGAGATTTAACGAAGCTTTGGCGATCAAAACTTGTTCGGTGGCAGAACCGTAATTATTTTGAAGTAAGTTGGGGTAAAAATCTGATTTTTCACATTTACCCTCACTCTCTCTCTCCCTCCCGCGTACACTCTCTCTCCCTCCCGTTTCTCTCTCCCCGATTCTCTCTTTCTCTCTCTTCGAATCTCACAGTTCCGGCAACGGGAAGAGCCGGCACCGGTCCCGTTCGACTCACCTCGAAGCCCCGATCACAACCCACCGGTTATCCCGACCGGAAAACGCGAAATCCGGCCGTGTTATCGACTGGTTCAAGTCGGAATTTTCACGGCGTGATTTTTCACCGCGACGGCGCAGCGATTCCGGCTAGTTTTTCCGTCGAGTGTGGTATGTTTTCGAATCCTTTCATTATGCTCTAGCTGATTTTGGGATAGGTTTGGATCGAATTTGAAGTTTGGAACCGAATTGGAAA